ATCACTTGCTTTTCTAATTTACAGTGAGCCCTGAGTCCCCTGGGACTGGTGCAGGCACCAGGACGGATCTCCCCAGGGACAAGAGCTACAGAAAACCTCTCTTTTGAACTGGCAAAGTGGCTCTAAGCCAACCAGTTCATGGTGGTGGTTTGGCAGCTGTAGCACTATCTGTGTGAGGTAACCTGGCCACTGGCAGAGGGAAGGCAAAGGTATCCCTAAGCAGTTGGCTATGCCTCACCCCGGGGTTTCTCCAACTTCGGATGCGATACAAGGAAATGATCACCTGCTTTGCAACTTATTTATTTATAGCAATTTATAATGATTTCTGAATATTGCTTAATAATCCTGCTTGTCCTGACTGTTCTGTGGAAGCTTACCAAAGACTACTGTGTTCATCAAAACACAGCAGTTTTCTGTGAAACCTTACTAAGAATTACTATCGACAAAAATGTTTCTTGTCCTTGGAAAGCAGATGTGCTGTAACTAGTTTAGTCTTTTAATGAATAGGTAGCCATATATGAACAGTAGAAATTGATACACTGGTACTTTTAGATAAGATTGAATGAGCAAACTGGCTGAAACCACTCTTGTTCAAGAAATTGGCTAAGAGAATCTGCACATGCTCTGAGAAAAAGTACAAGGTTAGAAAGACTACGAGCTTTCCTCCAAAAGACCCCTGAAGATGATGCCCAGGAGGCAATGCCCAGGTGCAGTGATACCATAAACTGTTGACACTAGCCATTTGAACTAGCCCCAGCCTTACTTATGCATATTGATATTTGTGTTATGTAATCCAATTAATATGTATATCCACACTCTATATAGTTTTTGGTAAAATGTGCTGAGGGGTGCAAGCTTTGTGGAGAAATCCCCTGCACCCTGGTGCTGGAGTAAACATACCTGCTTTATAAATCTCTGAGTTGTAGAGACTGTTTTCCGCAAATCAGATCCTCCACAATTGGAGGAGGGAAATTTTCAACTGACCGGCTGGTTTCAATCCAGGTAGCCTGTCTGCTCATTGCCTTGGCAGGAAGATCAGCTGGTGGTCTTCTCCCCTCACATAGCAAAACTCAGCAGCATCTCAAACTCTGCAGTTGGCACCAAACGGTTGCCTTGTAAAGCGCTTTGGCAGTGAGGTAAAGGTTTTTGCAGCAGCAGTGCAGGGAATAGCTGAGGGCACTGCTAAAGTTTGAGGCTTTGGGACAAATGCAGCAGCTGCATGGTTCTATTATACTAATGCTCTCAGCAGCAAATTTAATTAATAGACTTGACCACTTACATGTCTTTTTGGGGAGGTCAGACTGGATTCTCCCTGCTAGGAGATTCACATCTCTCAGGTAGTTTCAGGCTGTCTACAGAGTTAGAACAAAGGTACTCTGCTCATGTATTCCAGTTTATATGTATAACTTTGGGATGAGAAAAATGAGGGTTTAAGATGCTAAAGCCATATTTTGCAGCACACCAAGGACTGTGCTCCACAAGTCTCCCTGTCAGGAGCTATACAATACATGGCTTCTTCATCTTGTCGCTTCCCTTGTATTTTCCATCTAGTTACCTAGGTCAGTATGTAATGTTTTGTTCCACATTCATGTTCACAGAGTCTGAATTAGTATCAGTGGATTTCATTCAATCCTTATTTTTCATCCAGCCTGAGAGCTGATCCAGTTTTCTGACAGCATGTTATTGTCAGCTAAAGCTGGCACTGCTAAAGCATACGCTTTCTGAGTTGGGACTTGCTCACTGGCTGCTATCGTTTGGTGTACGTATATATGTATGATACCATGTCAGTAAAAAAAACCCCAAGATTATATCTTTAGCAGTAAAAACCAAAGCATTTTAAACAACTGAAATGCACTCTGACCATTGTGTCTTCTGTCAAGTGTGGACCCAAGAGGCAAGCACTTACACATTTCTGGGGTTGTAATAGTGGAGGGAGCCTTGAACAAGGCTTCTGCAAATAAAGACCTGTAGGAACTTGGGATTTCTGAACCAAAGAATTTACTATTTCAAGAATAATGTACTTCTATAATGCATGTGTCTCACCCAAAGGTTCAATCACGCAAAGTGTTTTAAGGGCTGAAATTAAACTTGATGGGGTAGCCTTATTAAACCTTTTGCCTGTTGTTGCCTTTAGGCTGGGCTGCATTGCAGACGTGTTTGCTGGCTTAACTGCTTTGAACAGTTTGCCTGTCTTGACACAGCAGAAAAAAAATACTGGGTTTTTTGGGGGGTGGTGGAATATTTTGCATAGCATCCACTGAGCGGGGATTCCTATGCATATGAATTGCACTGTTGCTTAAAACACAGATAGAAAACTTGTCTGTATTTAGAATGGGCTGTGTGTGTATATATGTATAGACAAACTGGCAGCTCCCTGTCACTGTCCTTGACACTGTTCTGTCCACTTGCCTCCTGTGCTCCCAGTTTCCTCCACGGTGTCCTCTATCTGATGTGTTTCCTACCTGGGAATGTGTCTTTTACCTACCTGTCATTTACCACCATGAGATAAAATGTTTTATTTCTCTCTCATGAACTATAGAAACAAGCTCCATTTAAATGTAAAGATAAAGCAGCTTTATTACTAATGTTACTAGCACAGTAAACCTTTGACCACTTGTGAAATGATGGCCAATGCTCTGCTTTATAGCTGGGTCATTTGGATTTCAATCAGGTGGGGTGTAACTCAGAAAGATGCTTGTTGCCGTGACACATGGCTTAACAATTCTCATTGCATCTTATCAGGGAAGTACCTACAGCCCAGCCATTTAATCACTGTTACTTTTTAAAGTTAACTAGGAAATGTGTCATCTTTAAATAATCTGTAGGAAGTATCTAAGCAGGCAGTATTGTTTGTGGAAGGCAACCACTGCAAATGTTTGGCATCTTCAGTATTCATGTTTATTGCTTGTATATGGACGGTGAGGTGTAAGTGCAAATAGCTGTAGCAAATTGGAGCACAACAATATGTATCCTAGATGGCTTCTGAAAGCATATGTTTTCAGGGATTTTCACACAGTCAAGTCTCTAGACATCCACTGCAAGAATGTAAGAAAAATAATAAATAAACCCAAATCCTGACCACGGGCCTCAGCACACAACTTTAGAACAATACTTCTCTACTAGTGAATTGTTCTTTTAGAGTGACCAGTTTCTACTCGTAACCAAGTACATGCTCCTTGCTGTCTGTTGGCTAACTGTAAGCTTCAGATGACACCTTCACTGAGATAAGTGCAATTAAATTGTCTTTTATAGATCTGGGTGTCTGAAACCTGGCTGGAACTGACTCAGCACTTCTGTGGTGATGCACAAGCTGGGCAAGACCCATTGACACCACAGTGCTGGGAAACCTCAGCCAAAAAATCCAGGTGTTGACAAGACTGGAGAATCCTCTCTGCAAGTAATGAGCAGCTCCACAAAAAACAATTCTTGATTAATAAATCATTGGAAGCTTTCATAATTCCCAGTTTAATAGAATTTAAACATGAGAGAGGATTAAGTGAATAACAGAAAGCATTCTGCAAGAATTTCCCCCAGAGCACTGCGGGTGAGAGAATGAAGGGAGAGAGAGGGAGCGCAGTTAAGTTGTGCTTGCAGTTGAGGAATGCATGCCTCTCAGGGGTGGTGCACGCTCCTGCTCGCTGCATCACACAAGCACTGCTGGGAGAAACCAGGGCTCGCTGGGGAGCGGGTGGGCAAATCCCACCTTGCGTTTGATTCGTGAGTCACCGAGATGTGTTTTGTCTCGCATCATTCTTTTTCCCTCTCCACCCCCTGCAACAAAACCCTCCTCTGCAATTCTGGAAGTAAGGCCCCGTTTTCTGGGTAGCTGCTGCAAGGGGGCAGGATTTTCAGAGTAATGCTCAGAAACGACATAACCCAGCAACAAATGTCTTTTATAAAATACTGTGTTTTCCTGACCTACTTGAAATCAGCTTAGTGACAGCACAGCTACCCAGAAAAAAAGGACTGTCTTTCTGCATGAGCTAGATTAGCCTTTTTATTTGAAGCACAAAACATTGATGAGAAACAGCAGCTGTAGATATAAAGGGGAGTTAACCAGAGAAAACAAGCATATTACTTAAATAGGGAGGCTCAACAGAGAATAAGTTATCAAAAGCACAATGATGCTTGAAAAACGCTGTGAGAATGACAATAATTTTCTGTCATGAAAGTGGAATTATGATTCTCCTGAGCCACAGAATATAATAATTTGGAGTAAATCATTCCATCCCTTTTCAAACAAGTACTTTTCACTGCCAAAAAGAGACAACTGTACCACGGACAGGGGAAAACAATTACTCTGTGAAACTCTGAATAGCATTTTGTGTCCAGATATCAAATTTAAATTGCCATTATCAGAGTCCTCTATTAACATCTTTTAAATTAATGGCCATTAATCTTGTGGCCCTACTGATAGTGCCAAAACAAATAAGTGCATTTTTTTTATTCCCATGGCAAGAGTGTTGTTACAAAAGCAGTATAGCAGCTATGCACAAGGTCCCAAAGGTGTAGGAATGGATAGAATTGCCCTGTGAACTTGGGAATGTAACTGGCATGTTGGTGGGAAAAGGAAGGGGAATGTGTTTGAATTCTCTTCCCAGCCTCTAAAATGCTGCAAAATAATGCTAATTCTTCATTATATTAATATGACAGAAACATGGAAAAGGCTCAGCTTGCAAACAGCGGTAGAGACATGTGGCCCAGGCCTTGATAAAGTGCTAGTATATGTTTGCCAAGCAGTAGTGCAGTCCAGTTTTTTGTCTGTCTCCTGTGCACCTGTAGCTTCTGTTACTGTATTAAATTGAGTAATCGGAGGAGGTGGGTGGGAGTGGGGGGTGGGTGGTGAATGGGCGGGGGGGGGTTGTTAGTGTTTATCCTTGAAATGCCCCTTAGGATAAGAGAGTGCTAGCCTCTACAGTCTACAGGAAAACCACAAAGACTAAAGGTCTAAGGTGAAGGAGCGATGTTATGGTGGTGCCAGGAACTGAACCCATACTTACTGTGTTTCCCGCTACTGTCTCACTTGCTGAATTGCCCCTCTTTTTCCTCTACTTATTCCTTTGCAGCAGCTTTTCTTTCCTTGTAGGTGTGGGAACTGGCAGCTACCACTGCTTCTGGTTTCGGCAAGCCTTGGGAAGAAAGAAATGGTCATAATACTGTGAAGTGGGTCTGGGCACACTCGGTATCCAAGGTGTGCCCAGTTCCTTCCTATGTACACCCCAACAGCCTGGGGCACATCCCACAGCAGAACAAGTAACCAGACCATTTACTATGAGAATGACTGAGAAGGATAGAACTAATTCCTCTCCCCCCATCAGACTATTATACTAACCCACATTTTGATAGCCACAGGTTAACTTTTCACCAGCTGGTAAAGTTATGTTCATTAAAATGCCAGAAACCAGCAAAATGTTTGGTGAAAAATTGGAAAATCTGAGGTACCATAGTAGAAAAGCAAAATATCTCTACAGTGATATAATTTGGTGCTGTGAGCCACAGTGTGTGTGTGTTTCATGCTACCAATCTTTCTTATGTCTCCTGTGAGGTACCACAGCACAGTGCCTCAGTAGCAGTCATATGGCATCCAAGGGTGTAAAGAGCAACTAGAGAAAGAAACCTAAGTTAAAATGCCAGTAGGGATTTAAAATCATAGCATTTAATTATCAAGATCCCTTTTCTCTGGGTGAGAAAAGAAACGGATGAAATATTTTGATTTTCAATCAAATATCCTTTGGCAATTTTCAAGTGTAGAGGTTTTCACTGAAAAAAAAAAAATGCTATTAATTACTTTTATGGAAAAAAAACCCAAAACTATATTTTGCAATCCAAACTTTTCTTCCCCCCTCCCCATCATCAGATAATGTTGTGATCACCTTTAGCTGCAAGGGAACTTCCTGTTCCCAGTACCCCAACTCAAAAGTGAGTTGATATCAATGTGAGGTTTTGTTTATTCAGAAATGTCAGATCAGGCTTTAAATCTGTAGAAACAAGAGGCCCTATTACTCTTTTACTTGTAGATGTGCAACTGATGGGTGTTCAGCCTCTAGGAGTTTAGATGACTGCGATAAGGTTTCAGATAAACATCCAAATGTTTAGATTTTTATCTAAACCAAAGCTCTGAACCTTTAAAGGATTACCCACCTCCAGGGATAATCCTGTAGTGATTTCAACACCTGTACTGAGTCAAAATCAGTTCAGAGTCTTCTGGCCACAAGAAATGGTTCAAGCCCACCCTATCATTTGTTTTGGATGGCTAAAACAGTCTGTGTCAGATCTGAACACGATTATCTGGGCACTCAGATTTTAAATGACTCCATCACAGGAAAGTCCCAAATAGCCATCAATAGGATCAGTTATTACCACAGAAAAACAACCTGTGACACTATGCTTCTGTGGCCTACAGAGTAGATATGCCCTGAATGTTTTTATGGTGAATCAGAAGCTCTGAATACCTCACAGTTTCATAGATATTTTAAATGAACTGCTTTTCTGTCAGCATTTTACTTTGGAAGCAGACTTTGCTGCCCTCTCTTGCAGTTGTCAAGCAAATGTGTTCACCACAGCACACAGCAAAGCTCCACTGGAGGTTTGAGGGACTGATCATAAAAAAGTGCTGCGCCCAGATAAAGAGCAACGTATCTCATGAGTGTCCATTTCCATTTGTTACCACAAGTGTATTGACATACTTAGAGGGAAACATTTTTGGTCCTGTTCCAGCATCTGTGCACAGCCCATGACAGAAAAGGCTGTATGCTCTTCTTCCCTGGCAGCAGCTTGTCCAGCTGCCCTGAGGAACAATTGGACTTTGGGCTTCATTCACGTTTCTCCAAAACGAAGCAGTAACTCTTATCAGGGTTTATGGAATTCTTCCAGCATATCTAACAAATTATTCTGGGTTTAGTTTCAGTTTTAGATGCTGTGATCATGCTTCTCAAGCAACCAGGAACTGGGAGGAAATGAAAAGAATTATGCCTAACATTTTACACATACCTATGCACATGCATGTGTATAGGATGCACATTATTTCACCATGGATCTGAAAGTCCTTTACAAGTGTGAACCGATCATGCCACAAAACCCTCCAAAAAAAAAAAAAAAAAAAAAGTCAACGGGTATTATTCTGACAACAAAATTATAGACAGAACACAATCTTCCCTGAGGCCTTTTGGCAAATCCTCCAGCTTTATTTGGACTGAGTCCCCTGATAGCCTGAAAGGAAGGCAAAGGTTTTTTAATAGAAGGATTGCCCAGTAAACTGAACTCTTGTTTTCATGGGTTTGTTTTTTTGTTTTTTTTTTAATCTAAGCAAGAAAAAAGAGGGTTCACTATTCTTCATTTAAGAAGTTTATCTGCTGTAAGCTAACCTATCTCTGGAAGTAACTACTGGCTTTGATCACTTTCCTGAAGTACAATGGTATTTAAGGAAAAGCTGATCTTATTTTAATCACTGGTTCTTCAGCTCATCTTTGTAATTAGAAGGAAAGCTTGCCTCAACAGTGCTCAGGTGGAATGCATAGGAAACATATGATTAAATGGTGATTCTAAGTTTAGCATTTTACCTCCAGAAAGCAAAACAAGCATTAGGTGCAAAGTGTTTTTCATAAAGTCAAGAGACATTTGAAAGATGATGTTAATTAACAATGGCCTATGTAATGAGCAAAAACAAAGGATGAAATTATAGTGAATTAAAGCCAGCTGGGATCTTGCTGTTGCGTTCAACAGGGCTAGACTTTGAAGCTTCCATTTTCGCACTGGGTCTTCTCTACAGATTTCGTTTGACATTCGTGGTGAGGTGAGTTGCAGAGAAATTTATCAATAAGGAAAACACGTACAGATTGGGTTTGCTTTTCTATGCTAGTCTTATCTGATCATCCTGAAATATTTAGAAGCTTCTCCCTGCCCTGTGGTGCATCCTATTGCTTGGTAATTTCAGACAAATGTTTTTAACAGAGTTCTGGTGAATAATTTCTCTTTAAGGTGTTGTAAATCCCTGGAAGTGGAGGAGGATGTTTTCCTGGAGAGAATGAACTTGTTTTTCCTTTTAAATGGAGCTGTTCTCTAGTAACTGTGATGATCTGGCTACTGGCAAGTAGGCCTCTGCAAATGTATGTGTTAGGAATGTTTGGACTTAGGAAAAATAAAGATATGTTGTACCACAAGGTCAACATCTAACTTTTCTAAAGGTGATGGTCTGGGGAGTATTTTCATCCACATGACTGTTATTATTGTAGGATACCTACTATTTGCATCTCTTATTCATTGGTTATTCCCCCACCATCCCAAGAAAGATTTATCTCTGGTAGGAATTTAGTAAAAGTAAGGGAAGAAGTTACTGCATGGACAAGCAATGATGTTCTCATTATATTGCGTACTAGGCAACCAAAATAAAACTAAGGGTTCCCAGGAGTTCCTTCAGTTTCTTTAGCCAATGTTTTCCACATCTCTGTGATATTCTCACCAACCTGTTTCACACTGGAATTTAATGTCGAATGAAGTAAAATCCAGTGTGTACCATCTGAAGAATGCAAATGCACAGAGGACTTGATATGAAGCCATTCACAGTGTTCTCTTCTGAAATTATATTGAGCACAGTCTTGTCTCATGCTTATCTGTGTTTGTAATTGTAGCTCAAAAGATCATCAGAAAAAAGGCCATTTGCTAAAGTGGGTTTTCGAGTCTACACTACAAAATATAACACACATAGATTCAGAACAGGCTTTCTGGAATCTGACAGATATTCAAGTCTGGAATATTTTCCTACTGAAAGGAATAACATGTGCAGTCTCAGTTTTTACCTGTGGAAAATATGATTGGACCATGATAATGGTCTCCTAATGCCAAAGCATTGATAGGAAATCAAATACTATTTTTTTTTCCCAACTCTTTTGAAAACCAATTAAGAGTAGAAGGTGTTATTAACAGCAAATCCCCATAACAATTAATTTAGGCACTTAATAGATCATTTGAAATCTCTAGAGAGATACAGAGAAAAATTTAAAAGTTTCTTTAACTCAGAAGTTTTGGACTAGATGCAGAAGCTGCCCTATATGAGGGAAGAGATCAAGTACGTAATAGACAGACCGGATATCTGGATTTAAAATGTAATGTAGATTATTTTTCAGAATAGTTTCTCCTATTGGCTTCTTGATTTAAAAATTTGATGCTGGTGTGACAGTTTCTTTTAAAGACAAGAATCTTTATAAAAGTCCCTTGGATTGCATTTATTTCTATTTGCAGAAGAGGTAAGTGAGGGTCAAAAGGCCCCAGGAGTGCCTGGCTCCTAGCAAAAGACAGTCAGCTGAGCACAGTGAGCTTGAGATTACAGTTTGAAAAAGTGAGGAAGAAAGAAATCAATGAGCCCACAGAAGGAGCAGAAACAACTTCCCTCCTACCACCTTGCTGAGTTTTCATTTCACTGCACTCATCCTGCATTACGGTGATTCTTGTGAAATCATGAAGTTACATCAGCCAGGTACTTTCAGTAAAAAAAATGGAGATACCAGGCCTGGTCTGCAAGGTAAAGTAGTGGGTATTTACCTGAACATGCCATGAAACAACACGGCAAATGTACATTTTTTAAAACTTATGAACCAAGCCTCAGGCTGTATGGTGAATAGGTTTGGATGATAAAGTGTTCTGTTGTTGTTACATGGGTATTTATTACCGGGTGAAACCTCTATAGCTGTTAATTGTGTAAGAATGCTTATTTTTAACCTGCTGATCAGCAGGGACTAACTACCTCAATGATTATATTGCTGCAGCATGTTCTTTATCTGACGTTTAATTGGGCAGGGGGGAGGTTTGTAATAACAATTTCTCTTTCTGCTACACTCTGGCCATTTACCCATTATGTTACTGCCTGTTCCTCAGAGAAGACTGACATAGTAATGTAGACACATCTACTCACCCAGTAAGTTATAAAATATAATCATTTTTGCACACTAGTCAGGAAAATCTAAGCTTCCTGATGCAAAATATTAAGAAAGTTGCTTTGATATCTACAGTTTCTTGGCAAGTCTCATTTGAAACACTTTGATATATAGAACATAATGTTTTATAGATGAGTAAAAAGAGGTTCAGAGAGGCCAGACCATGGCAAAAGCCATCATCCTGATTTTTCGTTCTCTGAAGTCAAACATGTTGCCAAAGCAAATACAAATGCCACTCTCTTTCAGAATGGGTGTTTGCAGAGCTGACCTGCTCCTGGGCCATTTGACTGTAAGACAACAGCTTACACATGATCAATTGCACATTTTTAGGGGACATATCAGACACCAATAAGCAAATAAAATATTGAAAGGGGAGGTGCAGCTGTGAGTCTCTCATATCTGACTAGTGAACCCAGCAGTCCAACTATCTCTGCACCAGTACAACAATACTGCCTCTTACAGCTTTTCATATTATGAATGGAGTCTGAAATATGTCCAGCTGAGAGGGGAAAGTAAGAGAGGAAGGCAGGGAAATGGACAGGAATGGGAGGAAAAGAAGAATAACAATGCATTGCTTTGAAAAGGTAGGCTTGACTCCAGCTTAACTTCAAACACTGCTGAGCTGCGCAGTGGCTCAGCAGCTGGGAGGTTTCCCTAATGATATTGTGCTGGAGTGGCTTCTACTGCTGTGACACAGCCATGCTGCTGAAGACCCTGGGGAATTACCTTGGTATTTAATTTGTTGTTATGAAAACAGTGAGTTTGACTGCAGCAAGAATAGTTTCTTCCCAGTTACCAGAATCCTATTGTTGTTCTCCTTCTCGTTGACCTTTTTGCTGGTTTTGCAATTATAATAATGATTTTCCCGGCTTTGCTATCTTGAATTTGTTTGATTTATATTGTGCCAGGAATTCAGAAGGGGAAAAAGCAGCCCATCTCAGGCAGTTTTGCTAAATTAAGGATTTTAGAGAAGTAATTTTTTTGAATGGAATTGTGATGCAAAGAGCAAGATCTCCCTTGCTTTAAGCATTTTAGTTGTATATGGCCATTAGAAACATAGGGCCCATCTTCAGTTCCACCATTATACTGCTACGACACAAGCTGTTCAATTGTGTTTTTTAAAAATTACATTAAAAGCAAATGCTACTTATTTTGGAGTGTAAAGGCTGTGAAAAAGTCTTATGATGATTTTTGCATCTGTAACCTTGCTGAGATCAATTACTTCCCCTCTTAGTTTTGTTCTTTTCTACGGGTATTTACTGGGCTTTCTACTCAGACCCCCATGTAAAATTCTGAAATTAAGAGAGAAGCCCCTAAAGAGCAGGTCACAAGTCTGCTTTGGATAGCTATAAATAGGCTTTACTCAGGAGTCTGTTTGCAGCATCCCTGTGTGAAACCTTTCATTGACATCCCATGAAGGTAAGGGTCGGGTAAGTGTTTTAGGCCAGGCTTTACCCGCTTGTGGTGCAGGGGACAACAGCATGACAAAATCATTTCCAGTTCTATTCTCCTGTGTCTTCAGAGACCCAGAGTTTCATTTCTCCAAGTGCCCAAGACGTGGCAATTTTAAGAAGGTGTTGTCTTGGCTGGTGCAGAAATCAAATTATTGTAAAACTATCTGGCTGTGAAATATGTCACCAGGACAGCTGCATGAGCTCCCCCTTGCCCTCTGCTAATGGCCCATGACAATATCGGGAGTGAATGTGTAATTGTGCCTCTCTCTCCATTCAGCCCGTGTCTCCTGTTGTATTTTAACAAATTTGCATGATATCCAAGATACAAGCAGCAAGCTAAAAGCTAGTGAAAGTTTCAGTTAACTTAGACACAGGTTTGTGTAAATTTATGATGGTCTTTTGAAAGCCAATTATAATAATGAAAGAATATAAAATTATTTTTATGTTTCCTATGATAAATGTTCTTTATTGTAGATAGCTGACTGTATTTGAAGTAATATTTGCTTACAAAACTATGTATCACTATAATAAGATAACATAGTCATTATGATGCTATTTGCTGTGTTTATACAGTATGCTGATTCAGTTCCTGCACATCACTTTTCTTTTACTACTTACGGCTGTATTAAAAAACAAAAAACAAACAAACAACAACAGCAAAAAAACCCACCCCACAAAACCAACAACCAAACCACCAAAC